ATTCTAGCTACTCAGGAGGCTGAGATTTGAGGATCATGGTTCAAAGCCAGCCCAGGCAGGAAAGTCCATGAGATTCTCATCTCCAATAAACTACTAGAAAACTGGAAGTGGCTCTGTGGCTCAAGCGGTAGAGGGGTCGCCTTGAGCTGAAGATCATAAGAACAGTGCTCAAGCCAATAGTTCAAGCACCATATCAGACTATAGATAGATAGATAGATATAGATATATATTCATATTCATATATTTTATTTTATAACCCAAAGCAGAAAGCAAATAATTTTTAGATTATTTTTTAAAACACAGTCTCTCAGGATCTGGGAAGGTTGCTCAGTGGTAGATTACTTGTCTTGCATGCATGAGGTTCTGAGTTTAATTCCTCAGCACCACATAAGTAGAAAAAGATGAAAGTGGCGCTGTGGCTCAGATGATAGCAGTAGCCTTGAGCTGAGGAAGAGTACCCAGGCCCCGGAGTTCAACCCCAATGATCAACAAAATCAAAATATAAAACAAAACAAAACAGAGTCTCTCACATTTTTGGCTTCAACTCTGTAATACCGCTGCTTCAGCCTAGGGCTAAGATTTTAGGTGTGGACATTTATCAATACTCCTGATTCACACTTTACTTGAAAATTTTTTAATACATATTTTGTTCTTAATTTTCCTCTTTATAAATTCACATGCACCTATAAAAAATGGTTTTGCCAACCCAGTAACCTTCTCAAAGTATCTCCTGATGACGACTTACAAAAAGTGTTATTATGTTACAAGGGAAACAATGCTACAAATAAAGAAAGCCAATGATTAAATATTAATGATTAATAAAATAAAAAAACAAAACAATTACCAGTTTTTTCAGTATTTGATGGTGTACTACATATTAGGTTTTACTATTTTCTCATATTCCTGTATATTTAAAACTGGCTAAGATTATGATGTTCAACAAGAGTTTTATAGGCTATGTGTAGTCTTTAAAGTTACCCACTAAGATGACTATTTATGACTCATCTCATGATTTTTATATGGCTTATATCATCATTTGTTCCTCGCAAAAATATAAAGTAAGGAAGCCCTAAAGTTTTAACATAAACTGTGTAGTTAACAAAGTCTTAACTCTTCACTCGACTTCTTTACACAGACTTTGCAACTTCTCATTAGTAAAGTTTCTGAAAATGAACATACTTAGTAGTATGTCTGCTACCGTTAATCTTAAATACTTTATAGAAAAGTTTTATGACCTGCCAAACAGTCCTAATTATGGCATATATAAGCAAATTCCCAAAATTAAATATATTTAAAACTTTAAAAATTTTAACAAACCTTACCACTTGCTGCAGTGTCCATTAAGACAGGTGCTTGTATAGAATAATTGAATTTCTCCTCCTACACATCTCTTGAAAAATAAATATCTTGACTTATTTTGTTTTTGTCATGTCAATCTTGCCTTTATTCTTACATGGTTCTAAAATATCACGACTTACTTTTTGATGAATTGTCTAGTTTCAGAAAATCGTACTTTCTCTCAAATCTCACATATATCCAAAGGCATTAATTGTTCGGGACTTTATCACACTAGATAGATCAACTCGGCAAAAACTCAACATAGAAACTGCAGACCTTAACAATTGCATAGATCAATTAGATTTAACAGAAATCTATCGAATATTTCACCCAGCAGCATCAGCATACACGTTCATCCCAAGAGCACATGGAACATTTTCCGAAATAGAACACATTTTAAGTCACAAACCAAACTTGTAAAGAAACATTGAAATATTGAAGTTATACCTTGCATTCTCCCAGATGACAAGGAAAAAATTGAACTCAACACCTTAAAGCCACCAAAGAAATTCCTGTAACAAGTGGAGCCTGAACAACACACTGTTGAGCCACCATTGGGTCATGGAAGAGGTTAGAAATGAAATTCAAGTGTTTATGATATTCAACAAAAATGAACACACAAACTCCCAGCTCCTCTGGGAGAGAGCAAAGGCAGTACTCAGAGACAAGTTTATCGATTTGAGTTCCTACATCAACTAACTGGAGAGATCTAAAACCAATAATTTAATGAGACATCAAGCATCCTTGAAAAAGAGCAGCATGATAAACCTCAATCCAGGAGATGGAAATAAATAATCAGAATTAAATGAATTAAAATCCAATAACAACATAGAACAAATAAAAAAAAAACAAAGAGTTGTTTCTTCGAAAAAATTAACAAAATTGAGAGATGGTTAGCAAATCTTCTTAGAAAAACAGGAGAACACACCCAAATAAACTCAGAGAAGAGAATGGAAACATCACCACAGAAACAAACATGATTCATAACATTATAAGGAAATACTTCTCAAAACTTTATGCTAATAAGTTTGAGAACTTGGCAGAAATAGGCCTTTTCCAAGCAAATATGGACATGCCCAAACTGAAACAAGATGAGTCATGCCATCTTAACAGGCCCATATCAAGCCTTGAAATAAAAACAGCCACAAGAGACCTCCCATCTAAGAAAAGCCCAGGACCAGATGGTTTTAGGGCAGAATTCTACAAGGCCTTCAAAGCAGAGCTCACACCAATACTCCTCCAACTCTTCAATGAAATAGAAAGAGAAAGTTCACTACCAAACTCATTCTTTGAAGCCATAATCACCCTCATCCCAAAACCAGGAAAGGACTAATTAAAGACAGAGAACTATAGACCCATTTCTTTGGTGAATATTGATGCAAAACTTCTGAACAAAATGTTGGCAAATTGACTTCAGCAATTACTCCAATAAATTATACACCATGATCAAACAGGATTCAATTTCAGGGATGCAAAGCTGGTTCAATATTCACAAATCAATTAACATTATTCATCACATCAACAAGAACAAAGATAAGAACCATATGGTTATCTCATTAGATGCAGAAAAAGCATTTGACAAGATCCAACACCCCTTTATGATGAAGGTTCTGGAAAAATTAGGAATCCATGAAACATTCTTCAATACAATAAATGCTGTATATGACAAACCTACAGCCACCGTTATACTCAATGGTGAAAAACTAAAGCCAATTCCTTTAAAATCAGGAATAAGACAAGGATGTCCACTCTCTCAACTGCTCTTCAATCTAGTATTAGAATGCCTAGCTACAGCAATAATACAAGATGCTAACATAAAGGGGATCCAAATAGGGAAAGAAGAAATAAAACTCTCCCTCTTTGCAGATGACATGATTTGTATTTAAAGAATCCCATAGACTCCACTCCCAAATTACTCAAGCTGATTCAAAACTTTGGCAAAGTAGCAGGGTATAAAATTAACCTTCAAAAATCAATGGTTTTTATGTATGCCGATAATGAGAAAAGAGTGGCTTGAATAGCAAAGTAACTCCTTTCATAATAGTCTCACAAAAAATGAAATATCTAAGAATTAACTTTACCAAAGAATTGCAGGACCTCTATGATGAAAACTTAAAAAACCAGAAAAAGGAAATCAAAACAGAACTTAGAAAGTGGCAAAAAACACGCATGCTCTGTGATTGGAAAGATCAACATCTTGAAAATGGCAATACTTCCCAAGGCTATCTATAAATTCAATGTGATACCTATTAATATTCAAACTTCATTCTTCAAGGAAATAGAACAGGCAATCCAAAAATTCAAACGGAACAATAAAAAACATGGAGTAGAAAAAAACGATATTTAACAGAAAGAACAGTGCTGGAGTAATATCAATATCAAATTCCAAAATCTACTACAAAGCCATAGTAAACAAAATAGCTTGGAACTGGCACAAGAACAAGCCCCGAGACCAATGGAATAGAATTGAAAACCCAGAAATGTACCTACAGACCTGTAGCCATCTAATATTCGATAAGGAATCTAAAAAATAGAACAGAAGAAAGACAGCCTCTTCAGTAAATGGTGCTGGCACATTTGGTTAACTACTTGTAGAAAACTAAAGCTAGATCCTTATATATCACCCTGCACAAGAATCAACTCCAAACGGAACAAACACCTCAGAGTTAAAACAGACAGTCTGAAAACATTACAGGATGCAATAGGAGAAACTCTAAGTCTCCTTGCACATCCCAAAATTTTCTTAATAGAGACTTAGAAACACAACAAATCAAAAAAAGTTGGACTTACTGGATTGCATGAAATTGCAGAGCTTCTGCATGGCAAAGGACATAGCTAGCAAGATCAATAGAAAACCCACGGATTCGGAGATCTTCATTAGCCATACAATGGACAAGGGTCTCATATCTAAAATATGCCTAGAACTCAAAAAACTATGTTTTCATAGCATCATTTACCATAGCTAAGATATAGAACCAACCCAGATGCCCCTCAGTGTATGAATGGATCAAGGAAATGTGGTATATATACACAATGGAATGCTTTGCTTCCATCAGAACGAATGACATTGTCCCATTTGTTAGGAAATGACAAGACTTGGAAAAAAATATGTTAAGTAAGCCAGGCCCAAAGAAACAGAGGTCCTATGGTTTCCCTTATTTGCAATAACTAGTATATGTCTGAGTCAAGCAGGATAGGTCAGATAAGCTGATGTTAGGGAAATATACCCAAAGATAAGTATTCAAATGATTTTTCTTTAATCCAATTGTTTCTAATATATTTATGAGATGATTTCTATGTTGCTTTGTATGTCCCTCCCCCAAGGTTTAACGCCTGCTTTCACTGTATTTTATGTTGGTATAATTTTTGGAGGGGAAGGGAAAAAATATCATTTAAATTGGGATACAGTTGGACCCATTGCAACAATGAGATATACAAGTCGTTATGTCGTAAAACGAACTTTACAACGTTGATGGGGGAGAGGATCAGGTGTCAAAGCTAGTGGGAGTTTGGGTAAGGGAGAGGAAGGGGAAACAAAAAGGAGGCAACAATGCTTGATAAGAAAGGTATTCGTTATTTTGCCCATGTTATTGTAACTCCTCTGTACAGTATTTTCACAATAAAAAGAAAGAAAATGAATTACACTTCATATATAAAAAATGTTCTGTGCTCAATTCAGCAGGAAATACACTAACATTGGAACAATACAGAGAAGATTAGAATGGCCCCTGTGCAAGGATGACATGCAAATTCTTGAAGTGTTCCATATTTTTACAACAGGTGCTGGAGGGTATGTTGACAGAAGGGAACCCTACCGAATCCTTGGTGGGAATGTAAACTTGTTCAACAACTTTGGAAAGCAGTATGGAGGTTCCTCAAAAGGCTCCACATAAAGCCCCCCATGACCCAGCAATCCCACTTTTGGGCATTCACCCAAATGATCACAAACAAGACCACAATAAAACTAACAGCACAACTATGTTTACTGCAACATTATTTACAATAGCTAAGGTATGGAACCAATTCCGATTCCCCTCAATTGATGAATGGAGCAAGATAATGTGATAGATAGATTAGATAGATAGATAGATAGATAGATAGATAGATAGATAGATAGATAGACAGATAGATAGATAGATAGATAGATAGACAGACAGATTCATTCTATGCCTCCATCTGAAAGAATGACATCACTCAATTTGTTAGGAAATGGAAAGACTTGGAAAAAAACTTATTAAATGAAGTAAGACAAGTCCAAAGAAACATAGGACCCCTGCTTTCCCTTATTTTCAGTTACTAATATATGTCTGGGATAAATAAAAAAGGTCAAAAGCTATGTGCATATGACTAGATAAGGTGATGTTAAGGGAAATGTACTCCAAGATATTGACACAAGTGGTTTTTTTCTTTCGTGCTATTGTTTTTAATGGACTTACAATGTATGATGTGATTTTTTTTGTTTCTTTATATGTTCCTCCCCCACTTTATAACACCTGTTTTCACTGCATTTGAAGTTGGTGCACCAATATCTTATATATATGCTTCTCTAATTTGGGTAGGGGAAAGGTAAAAACACAATGTTTAAATAGGGATACAGGTTGACCAATTGTAACAATGAGATGCACAAGACATTATGATGAAAAATGAAGTTTATATTTAGGCAGGGTGGGGGAGACGGGGAGGAGAGGCTACTTGTGGAGGTTAGAGAGAAAGGATGGTGGGGGGAAATAAAGGAGGAGGTAACAATGCTTTTTAGGAAATGTACTCATTACCTTTCTCATGTAAATGTGACCCCTGTGTACAGTTATTTTTCCAATAAAAATGTATGAAAATGATCTGAGAAGGAAAAGTTTATTTTCCCCATTTTCCCTATATAATATCGTTAACAAAGAAATTAATGCAAAACACTTACATGAAAGTATTTTGCAAAAGTGTGTGTGTGTGTGTGTGTGTGTGTGTGTGTGTGTGCACGCCCGCGCACATGTGAGTATTCTTGCATTTGTGTTGGCATGCTCAGAGTTTGAACTCAGGACTTCAAGGTCTTGCTAGGCATTTCCTCTCTAGATTGATGAGGTTCTATATAAGCTACATCACCATTCCTGGCTCTTTGGTAGTTCATTAAAAGTTTTGAAAAATAATCTTATGAATTTTTTTTTGCTCTGATTGTCTTCCAACTGTTATCCACAGATCTGGCGCTCCTGAGTAGATATCCCAAGTAGACAGGATTACAGGTGTGGCCATCCAGCACAAGGCTTTAAAAATAATTTTAAAAGTAGTAAAATATTTACTTCACGGGAGCCTGTTTTATTATCTACTAATTTTAAAGCATTTTGCACTGATTGTATGTGAATTCATTTCGCTTCTGGATTCTTAAAAACTGTAAGTGATGATATTTGAAAGTTTTATTACTTTTTAAAAAGGAAACGAACTATGGGACAGAAGAAATTTGCCCCTCCTTGGACCTCAATTTATGCGCTCAGTTCTGTGGATGATAAGCCAATGTCACCAAAACAATCTGGGTTGAAGACAAAATGTAACAGAAAAAAATAACCATGGGCATTGCTATGCTATTATTTCTTGGATAACATGAATATTGAATTGAGAGTGTAAGAGAATGGAGAGATTTTACTTATCATTTTGTATTGCTGAAAGACTGTTGGAAACTTTAACTCATTTCCTTCCTCACTGTGTGTCTTTGGGCCATACAATTCATGCCTTTAATTACAATTTTTCCCAACATTAAAATGGCAATAACATTAGCATTAAAGCAAATTTTATCTTAAGAATTAAAAAATAAAACTTGTGAAATACTTAACATAAAATTCTATGAATGAGCTTTGAGTTTAGCCAGCAGTTTTTTAAAATACTAAATAGAACGCAATAAGTATTACAGAAACCATTACATGTAGTGAATAACCAGATGTAATGTTATCTATTTACCATGCTCTGCTTCGAAGGAAGCCAGATGGATAACTTCCCATGCTGCACATCAAGTTGATTATCTTATGTCTTGGTAGTTTAAAAATATCAGGGACAGAATCATGAAGTAATGGTGTAGATTGAGGTTAAGTCCATATAAAAAAGTACAAACCTGATAAAACATAAACATATCTCAGCAGTATATTGTTTTTTACATCATTTAAGTTACATTGTAAAGATAGGGAAAATCTAGCAGAATGAATTCTCTTTTTGATATATTTTCATGGGTCCTAAGAAGGATGAACTCTTTCCTCACTCTTGTAGAGGAATCATCAGATGAGAGGAAATGTATTTTTTTATTTGCTTTCTTCCATTTATTCTTCAGTTTGAAATCTGAACTACATGAGACTGAAAGAAGCTAAGGGAAATTAGACTCGCAGGCTTTGGAAAGAGCAATCAACATAAAATAAATAAAATATGTATCGCCTTGTAAATGGTACAACTAAATTGAGTTATATAGTCTCAAGTGTAAACAGAAAACGATTTAAGCAATATCATGTTATTAAAAATTGAAAAATGTTAGGAATTTAATTTTTTTCCTTTCTACTATATTGAATTAAGTATTGATTTTGTATAGAGAGATTAAAGATGAGATTAACAAAAGTTCTGAATAGACCTATTTTCCAAAAATCCCTGAAAATCACCAGTGGGTTTACAAAGTTGGGTTTAATACCACTTCCATGTTGGCTTAATGCTTTGTGAACAGAAGTCATTATAGAGAAATGCAATTCAAAATTACTATGATACTACTTCATAACTATTAAAACTAATCAAAACATCAAAGGAGTCAGGTGTGATGGTAAAGGCTAGTAAGTGCAAGCAGTTAGGAGGTTGGAGTAAGAGAATTTGAGTTTAAGGCCAGTCTGGGGTACTGCACATTGTAAAAACCTGCCTTTATAAAAACTCTAAAGGTAATAATGTTGGTGAGAGTGTAGAGAAATAAAATTTTCTTCACTCTTGTTCAAAATACAGGTTAGTATTCTCATTGTAGAAAGTAGTATGCAGTTTTCTAAAGAAATGCAAAGTTGAAATATCATCTGACCCACCAATCATATGATTATTTCTGTATGAGTAACTCTTAAGTATATCTGTATTTCATTGTTATTCACATTATTCACATCAACAGCCAAGATATAAATCGAAGTTAAGTTTTCAACTACAGACTAATAAAACAACTGTGGTACATGAACAAATATATTTTTCTGTTTCATCTTTTAAATAGCAAAATACTTCTCCCATTAGCCACAACTTACAATGACTTGAAAGATGTATTCTAAATGAAGAAAGACGTTGTCTTCTGATCTTTGTAAAACCAAACACACACACACACACTCACACACACACTCACACACCCCAACCTCAAACATTAAGAGAGAAATTTTTTAAAAAGTAAAGCAAATGAGAATTGCTGAGGCATTTAGTTTACAATGTAGAAGGTAGTAGATAGACGGTCTTTTGGGGTAAGTGAAACCCTAAGTATGGGTAATGCTATATCACAAAAGAAGGAGGAGGAGGCAACATTAGGCCTAGAAAGAGTACAGGAAGACTTGGAAAGTAAAAAGGAAAAGGAAAAGGTTAAATTCGACCGGGAACGCACTATCTGTGCATGCAGGGGTGGAGGCAGCTACTCAGGTGCCCTGGACGGTCCTAGGCCCCCTCCCTATTCCCCTGATTGGAAGGGAGGTATAGCACCCTATGAGACCTGCGAGAGGGACTTGCAAAACCTAGACCCCTACCACATGGAGGGACCAAGGGCTGAGGAAGTAACCTACTCTGGAAAAGACCTCCTCTGGAAAGGAAGGGCCACCCAAGAGCCCAGACTCTCGGCCACAGGATTTGCTTCCCCAAGCGTATCCAGTCAATGTGGCATCAGGGGCTAACAGGCCCTTGGAATGGTATCCATGGGAAGCTAAGGATCTTAAAGAGCTCCGCAAGGCGGTGGTGGAGGATGGCCCAAACTCTCCCTGGGCCCAGACCACTAGTTCTCAGTTTATTAAATGGTGTGCTTTCTTTAAGGAGGAATTCAGAGTGCGAGCGGAGGGAAACCGGCAGGCTCAACCAGCAATACCTATTACTTATGCCATGCTAGCAGGGACGGGGGAAGGGTACTCCACCGGCGTCCAACAGGCCGCAAAACCTGGCTCGTACCGTGACCAGGTGAGGCAGGCAGGACTTGCCACGTGGTACAAACCAGATGATGGGCCTACTGAGTCCCCCATAGCAGAAGTGAGACAAAAACTGGGTGAGCCTCTACCTGATTTCATAGACCGAGTCCAACAGAGCGTTCACTGCAAGCTGCTGACAGGGAACCTCCGAGATCAGTTTGTAAAGCTGCTGGTCTGGGAAGGGATGAATGCAGACCACTGCATGGCCTGCATGGGATTGAGAGAGAGTTCCCTGAGCAGATGGGTGGTGGCCTCACAGGATGTGGGAACGCAACAGCATCAGTCCCAATCACTAGCTTTAGCTTTGCAGGCTCAGGCATCTACAATGACTGAGGTCATTACTCAGGCTCTGGCAGCCCAGGGCCAAGGAACCCCAAGGCCATTGGGGAGAGGGACTTGTTTTAAATGGGGGCAGGAGGGGCACTTTAAGAGGGATTGTTTACAACAATCCCCTGCCAACTGGCCCGTGGGCAAACTGCCCCCTATACCCTGCCCCAGGGGCAGGGGGGGATACAAGTTTGATTTAGATGGGAAGTCTTTAAACTTGGGGAGGGGCATCCTCTAGCCCCTTTAACTCAAGGAGGACCCTCCCCCTGCTGTGAGGCCCAGGCAGCCTCATGGCAGGGCTA